TAAACAGAGAGCAAACTCCATCCCATTTTAGCACTGGAGATGTTACCTAGCTGGGTAATGAAACGTTTGAAGAAAAGCTCAGAGAAGCCCAAGGACTCCACAGTTGAACCCTGAGCTACACATATTCACCTCTATTGGTAATTACCATAGTAATAGAGATAGAATAGAATATAGGAAGCCTTCACATATCACTTTTATATGTTTGTTTTTGCAAAATAAAACATCTCCCCAACCCTTACAGGGAGATATAAAGGAACCATCTGTCCAGGGTCCAGTGCTTTTGTGTCTTTTGAGTCTGAGTTAATCTAATTGGATACAGATAGTCCTCACTATCTGACCACAATAGGGACTGGAATTTAGGTGGCTAAGTGACTTGGTGGTTAAGCGAATTGGAACTGATTTTACCTTATGACGGTAAGCGAATATCCATGATCATTAAGTGCATCACATGGTTGTTAAGCAAATCCAGCTTCCCCAATGGACTTTTTTGTTGGAATTCACTTAACGACCATGTGATTCATTTAATGACCATTGTAAAAAAGGTCACAAATCGCAATCACGTGACTGTGGGTGGTCATAAAGCACTTTTCCCAAGGCTGTTGTAATTCCAGACCATCAAACAAGTGGTCGTTAAGCAAGTTTAAAGTAGAACCTGTGATACTGCAAGAACTAGAAAAGAAGGAATCTAGCATCTGTGGTGCAGGAAAAGCACTTCACCCCTGTGTACTGTGTATTGTAACAGACCAGTCTGGCCTCAGACTCTTGGTTTCTAGCAACCCCCGCCCCCCACTTTAGCATCTGAAGTGCTAAAGAACTTGAAGTGATAATCCATCTTTTATAAATCCAAATGTTGAAGTATAATTCATATATGCATATTAATAAGAACTAAACTCTTTGTGAGGTTTGCTGAAGGTTAGAATTACAAACCCCCTAGTGTGTAATTGGGAAAATGTCCCTTAAATGGTGGTAGAAAATTAAGCTATGGTTTATATGTGCGAAAAGCAACTCAGTCATCGCTGTGTATCCCGCAGTTGTAATTCTGCATGACTACCTGTCATGTGAAATATACTTATGAAATGGGTCATTTGAGTTCACAGTACTAAATGGTGTTTGTACAGAATATGAGTAAAACTTGTTCCTTCTCCTCTTTATTCCCCTTCCCCATGCTCTGTGGTTTCAGGCAATTTTTTTCCAGCTCATCTAAATTAAGAAAACTTTTAAACAACAGGGTCTCCGGGAGGCATACGTGTTTTAGAAGGTCTAGAAAATGCTGAGATCTGACCACAACATGTTGGTAGCAATGCTTTGGAGTTACATCCCTCTGTAGGCCTTATGCTGCGTATCCATGGAGTGGTATGCCAAGGTCCTAGCAGAACTTACATTCCTGAGTCAGCCTCTCTGTTAATGCCAGTGGGCTTTATGCAGGGCTATTGAAGCATAAACACCTGGTTTAGTGACTTCCTCAGGTTTGGTCTCTTGCTTGGTCTTGAGTGAGTCAAAATTTAGTTCAGCATAGGTGATTTCACAGGGAGCTATTTCAGCATAAACATTTTGGGGCTGTTAGAGGGGAGAGAAGAAGAAGAGATTGAAACTGCAAAAAGGCCACCTTCTGGGGCAGTGTTTCTCGACCTTAGCAACTTTAAGACCTGTGGACTTCAACTCCCAGAATTCCCCAGCCAGCAAGGACTTCAGCTCCCAGAATTCTGGGAGTTGAAGTCTACACGTCTTAAAGTTGCCAAGGTCGAGAAACACTGTTCTAGGGAATAAAGTGCTGTTCCCACTGCTTAAGGACAGAGTGGTGCAACATCTTGGAATTAAGGACAGCCCTCCCACTTTTCTGCAAAGATAGCTCTCAGGTGATCAAAAGTGGCAGTATGACACTGACCTGCCTTCCACTTGAATTGTCAAGGCTAGATAGGCAGAAAGGCATGATTAGTGAGGCTGCTACATTAATGCAGGTGTTTGGGCTTTAAATAGAACAATCATGCAGTACAGTGGCTACTTAAGGTTGACACTCTGGCATATTGCATTTTCTGAAGACAGTCATGAAGGTAGAAAAAATCTTACTGGATCCACTAGTTCATTTCTTTCCTCGGCAATAGGACCTAGAGAGAGAGAGAGAGAGAGAGGTTAACGAGGGTTTTCGTTTGTTTGCCTTGCCAGTTTCAGCTGAAACTGGAAATGCCGCTGTATGGAAATTATTGCTCATAATTAGTGAAATAATGGAAGAAAAATGCCCTTTCCCAAGTTAATGAGGTGGGGTGGAAAATTTTCCAGTTCCTTTAAGTGTTTGCTTTACTGCAATTCCTATTTTGAGAAACGGATTGTTTTACGAAATAAAGTAAGGTTCATAAGAATACAAATCAACTTAGTCAATTAGAATGAATGTAGTACCACTCAATTCAATAATTGTAATTAATTGTCTTCAGGTTATTCTCCCCAGGAGGCATATTTGAAGTGAACAAATGTGATTTCCTTCTTTTCCCTCCACATGTAAATCGAAATAACAACAGGAAAGAATATGTGGACTGTGCTCTCTTGAAATATTTCTAAGTATTAAATATTAAATATTGAATTGAGTAATTTTTAGACTTTTGGCCTTCATAAACAGGACAAGCCTATTCATACTTAGGCTAAATCCTAGGAACACATTTCTCAGGTAAGTATGTATAGAACTGCAGCTTATACATCTGCACTATTATTTTTCCCCCTAGTGGCACTATATCAATTCAATTACTTTATAAGTTTATAAAATTTTCCTAGCCTGTACCATTAACACGTATATTGTTTTAATCTTGTTTATTAATTCTGAAGGCTACAAAAGCAGACATTTAGGTTAGGGGGTTTTTCTAATTATTTTATTTTTATTTTCTATTTTAGAAAAAAACTACATTGTCTATGTAACACAAATGTGATTCTGAATTTCTGCCTCCTGTAAACATATATATTGCTCTAGTGCACCTGTACTCTTTCTCTATGAACAAAGCTACTTTGGGCTTAACAGCAGAACTCCCAAAATGACTGTATTGAAAGAGTTCCAGGATATCTATGCAGACAACTCATTTCCCTAGCTGGTGCTTTCTAAGTATTAATAGATAACCCAGCTAGCATGATTTGTACTGGAACTGATTGGTGGTTATGACTTATACTCCAATGCTATTGGAGGGCTTCAAGTTTTTGGAGTGTTGTTCTAAATGCTTTTTAAAATTATGGAGAACATCATTGTATAAGTCATATTCCAGTGAATCAGCACGGGCTTCTGTCCTATATGCAGTTACACATTTATGCTGGAAGAATCATGATTGATTCTTCCAGCATAGCTGGGTCATTCTGAATAATCACATAAAGATTTGTGTTGTAAATTTTGTGTTTTTGAATAAAGACCAATAGGCCTTGTCTTTTCCAGCTAGCTTTCTTTAAAATGTATCAATTAAACATTTAGGCACATTCAAGATTCAATTAATGAAGTGAATATTTTGTCAGCTTTATTTTTAATGGCACTTTGGGTGTCAGAACTGCAATTTTAGAATTTAAATATTTGCTGTTCTTGAACTTGCAAATGTCTCTTTCTGACTAAATCGTTCTTTTTCTTTAAAAAAAATTGCAAACACAACATGATAAAGCTTCTCTCAGGGCTTGACTCAACTGTGTATCCTTGAGCATCAGCTTTTGTCAAGCAGTCCATCTGGAGGTCCTCTTACCTTTCCTCCTTTTCTGGTACAGGAGAAAGATCAACAGGAGGAGGACGAGAAGCAAGACAAGACCTGAAGTAGTGCCCACCCAGATTAGTGTCGTGAATTCTGGAAATGTATCTTCTGAAAAATCATTGATATCAGAAGTTAGAATGTCTGCAGATGATCTGTCTTACCAAACACAGACAATATCTAAAGTTTAATAGGAAATTAGAAAAAAGACATGTATTCATTTACCTCCAGAGTTGACAATAGAGGGCCAAAAATATTTAGAACAATTCCCACAAACCTCACATCACATAGTCAATGATCAGGGGTACTGAGAAGCATTGCCAAGAACACAGTGAGGTTATCTGTTTGTATCCCACCCATCAGTCTCTCGGTGTTCAACCAAAAATGGCTATGTACTATACACTAAGCTGTAGTGTTGCTTGATTTGGGCTTATTGCAACGTATGAATGCAATGAATGCAGCTGTAGCTTTCGCCCACTACAGAACATCCCAGTCCTTCAAACAAATGTGGGGACCACTTTCCTTGGGTACCAGGGATTCCTTGCTCGATAGTGTAGAGGCTTTCCAACTTTGGGATACTGCAACCGCCCCCCACCCCCAAATTCATTGCTACATCTGTGCGACCATATCATGGCATAAAACTAATGATTGCATTAGGATTAGGGCTAGCCAAGAAAGAAATATATTACTTATTAAAAGATACATAACTTCCATCATACTTAATGTTTTTTTTCTTACCACTCAACAAAACCTTTTTTACTTAAAAAGCCTAGAAATTTAAAATAATGGATAAAAATACTGAACTCCGTTAACTTGTACATTTTTTACAAATTCTCCAAAAACTACTACGAAATGCCATGCCAGCAACATGATGACACCAATTGTTGTGCTGCCATGGTAGATGTCTAGACCCACATTTGCCAGCTCTCAAGATTTGCTTTCTGCTTTGCCTGCACAAGCCTAACCACTTTTTTTTTTTTTTTAATTGCAGCTCCCTGGAGTTGTAGCCAACAGTTTGCAACCCTTGTCATGCTAGTTTAGGATCCAGGGCTGGGTGAGAGGGCTCCATCTCTGAGGCAGCAGGATCCATATATTCCTCCTGAGGCCACCCCGACAGCCCTTACTTCATACAGAAGGAGAGAGACTTGGTCTAATTGTTCTAATATTTTAGAATGCAACATAAACCAGGCTTCTCACCTTTCACTAACAACTCCACAGGGTCACTTGGCTCTGACCACACAAAAGGATATCCCATTAAATGATACTGACAGGTGTAGTTTCCTGTATTTTTGAAGTCCACCATAAAGAAAGGGAACTCAGTTGAGTTCTTGTCTGGTGCTGTAATCTGTGATGCTAGCAGGTCCCTGGCATTGTGTAGGGAGAAGTTCAGATCACTCTTCGGGCCTTGGCACTCAATGGTGATATTCTGTCCTGGAGTAATGCTTTCTCTGGGTTTCACCTGGATGGACGGTTTGGGGAGACTGGGATCTAGATCCGAGAAAAAAGTCATTGAGGAAGCAGAGTTAAGCTGGATGATATTCATCTTGCATATCTGTTCATTGTAATGCTATTAACTGTGTCCAGATCAATCAGTCTGCCATTGAATTGATACTCTTCTATTGTTGGTGCACAGCTAGGCTGGTTTAAATATGTAGCCTGGAAGCAAGGTTTAGGATTAAGCTAACTAATACATAATACAAGGTGTTCATTTACATGAAGAGAGTGAGTTTGATGTAGCAGTTAAAGCACTAGGCTAGAAAAGAGAAGACTGTGAATTCTAGACTTGTCTTAGGCACGAAGCCAGCTGGGCGACCTTGGGCCAGTCACTCACTCTCAGCCTGGGAAGAAGAAAGCAAGGGCAAACCACTTCTGAAAATCTTGCCAAGGGACTAGTCCATGTAGTTGCCAGGAGTCAACACTGATTGAAGGTGCATGCACACACACAAATCATTTACATGAAATACCTATGATTAACTATGGTTTACAGAATCAACCCAATTTTATGAGATCACAAACATGCTAGGCTAAAATGTGGTTGGCTCTTTAGCAGTTCAATGTGTTGAATGAACACAGCCACAGTTTTCTAACTTAACCTTAGTTGACCTTGGCCCATCTCAAAAAGCTAAACAGAATTAGACCAGATTAGTATTTGGATGGGAGACTACCAGAAACTCTGGTAGCTGTAGGCTGTGCTGGGAAATTAAAAAAAATGTTCTGGGAGAAAACAATGGCAACATTTTCTGTACTGTTGCCAAGAAAAGCACATGGGGTTGTCCATTAAGTTATCAGGAATCAAATTTAACTCAAAAGAGATCTTCCATTTTACTGTGGAGAAGACTCCTGAGAATACCATGGACAGCCAAGAAAACAAACCAATGGATCACTGAAAAAAAATCAACCCAGATTCCTCACTCAAGGCACAAATGACCAGACTCAAATTATCCTATTTCAGACAAATTATGTGACGATCTAGTTTTCTGGAGAAGGCTGTAATGCTGGGAAAGGTAGAAGGAAAGAGGAGAAGAGGACAACCAGCAGCAAGGGGGATGGACTCAATTAGAGTGATGATGGGCCCACTATTGGAGGACCTGAAGGACCAGGTTAGGGACAGATCATCAAGGAGAAAATCTATCTGGTCACTAGGAGTTGACAAAGACTTGATGGCACGTAATCAATCAATCAGTAAGGAACTACATGTGTGAATAACCAAGAGAAGTTGCATTGTTTCATAGTGATCTTGGCAGAACTTCTGTTAACTTGGCATACAAAATATTTTTGCAATTCAAGGCACACTTAAGCCCCTTTACTGCAATGCTTGGGCTAATTAACCAATAACCGATTTATTTATTCATTCACTAATTCATTCATAAAAATTAAAAATGACTCTTGGGAGTTTACAAGATATGGTAAAAAATAACTAAAACATCCACAGTATATCTAATTACAAACATCAATGTATCTTAAAATAAACACGTTAAACCAGTAATAGAATTACCTTCCATAAATTTCTTTTCTGTTACAGTTGTTTAAGTTTCATCTGGAATTCCATAAATTTGATTAATCCTTCTAAGTAGGAAATTCCAGAGGAAGACAAGAACCTCTCCTCCTGAGATGTAGGAGGACGTATTGATAAAGCAGCATTGTTGCAATTCATGTTACAAAGAGATATTCCTCAACTATATTTGGTCTTCTCTCTCAGGAGGAGAGGTTAGGATTGAATGAAGCTGCTTATATTTGATGCTGACACTGATGTCTTAAGCCAGGATTGATATGGGCTTCCCATAATAGTTGGGTGTATCCCTTGGCTTTATCATGCATTATGTTTCTGATTGAAAATTGTGGATTCTGATTGTGAATTGTGAAAATAATAATGTAGGAATACATATCCTACTCAGTCTAGACCAGTGTTTCTCAACCTCAGGAACTTTAAGATGTGTGGACTTTAATTCCCAGAATTCCCTACCAGCATAGGGAACTCTGGGAATTGAAGTCCACACATCTTAAAGTTGTTGAGGTTGAGAAACACTGGTCTAAATCTACATACTTATTTTCAATGTCTTCAGTTGTAGTTCTTTTCCTGTCTATTATGTTTATAAAATCACTACTTTTAGTATTTCTCAGTGTTTGTGATAGCATTCCCTACAAAGGATTTAATCAAAGATCTCAGTTGTGAAATTTCCATTTATCAGAATCAGGGGAAATTCTGCTTCATGTATGAGTTTTAAGAAATGAGAACTTATTGCTTAAACCCAGCTTTCTGGGATGATGTCTGGGGCTCTGACTGGCCAAGAGAGTTCTACATTGCAATGGGGTCCAGTGGAGTTGGAAGAGGAAAGAAAACCAGGTGAAGATGGCAACACTGGGTAGCCTGTAAGAGAGCCAGTCTGGTGTAGTGGTGAAGGCACCAACCTACACCTCAATACTCAAGACCACTTGGCTGCTACTTAGCGTCTTCATACCTATGGAAACAGTAAGGGTATACTAACTTTTTCACACACGACCACTCCATTTTGGCTTTCTTTTTGTAAAATAAATGATGACATGGTGTAATATGTCATGTGTTGTTGTTCATCTGAGGTTGTATTTACCTACTTTTGTGAACTGCTAAGGACCAGATGATTTTTATTATGCTGTGATATGTAAAACCTTAGAACTCAAAGAGGGTATGACATGGTGTAATATGTCATGTGTTGTTGTTCATCTGAGGTTGTATTTACCTACTTTTGTGAACTGCTAAGGACCAGATGATTTTTATTATGCTGTGATATGTAAAACCTTAGAACTCAAAGAGGGTGTACTTTCTTTTTCACACGACTGTATATGAAGTTGTTTGCTATGCACATTAGACAAAGGGTGGTCCTGAAGCAGGATCCAAAGAGTTCACATCTTCTGGTCATCATAGAGCTGCTAAGGAATTCTCCATCTCTAAGAAATCACATAATGTACGGGACATAGTTCATGAGTAAGCAACCTTTTGGTAAATCTCCCATAACCATTTAGCATGATTAATGAGCCAAAAAGAGCCCGTTTGCTGTAGGGGTAAAGGCACCAAGCTAGAAACCAAGAGACCATGAATTCTAGTCCCACTTTAGGCATGAAGCCGGCCGGGTGACCTTGGGCCAGTCACTCTCAGCCCTAGAAAGGAGGCAATGACAAACCACTTCTGAAAAACCTTGCCAAGAAAACTGCAGGGACTAGACCAGGCAGTCACCAGGAGTCAACCCTGACTTGAAGGCACAAAAAACAAGGCAGCCTGTATTTTCAGGCTGGAATACAGTCAATCTTTAGACAATGTACCCTTGGAAACTGGTTATACTTCCTCTTCTTTTTTCTTCCTGCATTCTGGGACACTCCAACTTTCAAGATGGTGGTTCTGGGACACTCCAGCTTTCAAGATGGTGGAAGTTCTGATTCTCCCTGCCAAATTTGGCTGCTGTTACCAGCAGCTTTGGGAAATGGGAGGAACTGCACTTGGTCTTAAGTCTCATGATGCCCTGGACACTGAGTGATAGGCAGAAACTGTCTTGTGGAACAAGAATTCACTTTTAGCAATTGGTTCTAATATCTTATACTACATCAGGTCCCTTAGTCTGAAGACAGTGAAAATCAGATCATGTATCTGATGGTGACAGTCATGACTAGAATACACTGCTCCCTGAGATTTAGAAATATAGTAGTACTGTGGCATTAAGATCCATGAGGAATTTGTTTTTCAGCCAATATATTCTGCAGAACACTTTTGAAAAGAACATTTTATGGTGTGAGATGCATTTTTCATGAACATTATCATCTAAGTGTTTTTTTAAAATTAATACAGGTTTTCTATTTGATTTACTGATATGAAAAATACAAAAAAATTAGTTTTTTTGTAATACAGGGACTGAGATTACCTCTTACCTCTTATACTGATAGGTACTTGGTCACTGTAATCTGAACATAATTCATAGAAGGTTGATTTGTTGCAATAATTACATCGGTAATGTCCTCCATCCAATTTATTAACTGCGATAAAAGGGAATGTAGCCTCTTTCCCAGCTGTCTTCAGAATAAAATGAAGAGATGAATCTTCTTTCAATAAGTAGAACTCTGCTTGAATAAACTTTTCAATTTTACAGTGGATGTCGACATTTTCCCCCACGGTGATCATGTTTCTTGGACTCACTGAGATGGAAGGTTTGGGATAAAGCTGTCCTAGATCAGAAACAGAATGCAAATGAGGTCTGGAAACTCAAAAAATTTGATTTAAGTAATTTCTATGTTAGCAGTGTATAGTGCCTTCAAGAGTCATGCCAAAGTAACAGTAATGGAGACAGGCTTTATATCACTTCAGCAATGGTTTGGTGATGGTATGAAAATCCTATAAATCACTAACAGGAGAATTATCTTAGGCAATGTTACACCTGCTTCTTGCTATTTTGTCACCCCATGCAGACACCGATGGGTACCTCCAAAAATTAAATACACCCAGCCACCCAGAAATGCGACCCCAGCAACTTGTGTGGTGTCTTTTTTTTTTTGTATATTATTTTTTTAAATTAAGGATTTTGATTACAATAGTAAAAACTAATACAAACTAAATTTAAAGAAAGAAAAAAGAATAGTAAGAAAGAATAAAAGGTGCAAGAAAAAAGAAAAAGAAGAAAAAGGAAGAATATGATAAAGAAAAAGAAAAGAAATATATAAAGAGGTGACTTCCAACCTTCATTACAACAATTATAGACAAATTTAGTAATTCTTCACTCTCTAAAAGATTATAAACAGATATCTCTTCATGTCGTATCCCATCGTTTATCTATAAGCAATTCCATAAAACATCAACTTTTCAATCCTAGTGTCAAGCAAAAATGTTGTAAAGGTTGCCAGAACTTTGTAAAAAAAAATGTCTTATTTTAACCTTCATCAAATAAACCAACTTTATATTCCTTCCTTTTACTTCTAACAGTCTTAAACTTTAGTTCA